AAAAAGGAAAAAAAGGAAAAAAAGGAAAAAATAAAAGAAAAAAAAAAGGGGGGAAAAAAGGAAGAAGAAAAAAAAAGAGAAGAAAAAAGAAAAAAAGGGCCGAAGAGGTTTGGAGGGGAGATGAAAGGGAAGAGGAGAGAGCGACATGGAAATCGAGGGAGGGAAAGGAAGAGGAGAGGAGGGACATGGACATGGAATGGACGGAGAAAAAAGGAAGAGGAGAGGGAAGAAGGAAAGTTGGAAAGAGGTAGGGTAGGGAGTGTTTTTTTGAGGGAGATGGTAAGGAAGAAGGGGGAAAGGAAGTGGGGGGGTCGGAGAGGGAAAATGAGAGACGACGACCGCAGCTCATGCTAAAGCAGAGAAGGGGGAAGGGAAAGAGAAGGAAAAGAGGATTAGAATAATAATTGGGAGAAAGAGAGAGAGCACAACAGACAGACAGAAAAAAGGTACCATACACATGGAGCGTTCAATCTCACTTGCTTCTTTATTTCCAAATGTTACTCACTGCGGATGTATCTGTTTGAATCTGCGAATCGGGGAAGTGTGTGTGCGTCTGAGTGTATGCGTTTGCGTTTGTTTGCATGTGCTGAGGGAGAGAATTTGTCTCTATCCGTTAAAATATGTCTGTGCTTGCGTATGTGTGTCTGTATTATCGCTTCTGTATCTTTGTATAAGGTAATAGAAACAAGAATTTCATTCCGGCGACTTCAATGCTGCACTTAAACAAAGCTTCGTCGAATACGCAAGTGAAGCCACAAAGCGACGGGTCCGAACACATTGGCCACGCGTGATCTATTCTGAGTGGAATCAATAGAAGTACAAAAAGAATATCGTTTCTGATAATGATTCTGAGAAAAAAAAAAGCATGTAATTATTTCCATTAATCCCCAACATGAATATAATCTCTCTAAATATTATGTAAAGAGAATAGTGCGTAACTTGAAGAAAAAACTCTACGGATAGCACACTCCATGTTCCAACACAAAGCATAGTAGGTCTTTAGCAATTCTAAAAGTTTATATCCAGATCATGAGTCTTTTGGACAAGAAATTTATATATCAGAAATATATATATGTAGAATATAATATATGAAAGAAATATATATATAAATTTATATATGTGGCTATAACGACTGGTTGTATTTCATGAGAACTTTACAATATCAGTCTCATCTCAAAGAAATACAATATTAGTCCAAATTATCAAATGTTCAGTATTAGTAGAAATTCTGACGCGAGCAATATTATCCTGTAGCACCTCGCCAGAAAGAAATAAATAATAAGCAGAAACATGAAAAAATATATCATGATTGATAACTGAGAAGGCCGATGAATGTAGGCCTAGTCATCAGTAACGAGATACTCTTCAAAAACTTCAAAAAATTATAATAATAAAAAAAGATATAAATTCAAACAGAGACAAGCTGATTCTATCATGTGTATATTTCTGTGTGCGGTGTAAGCGTGCGTGCGTGTGTGTGTGTGGTGGTTGTGTGGTGTGTGGTTGTTGTGTGTGTGTGTGGTGTTGTGTGTGTGTTGTGTGGTGTGTATGTTTGTGGTGGGTGGTGTGTGTGTGTGTGTTGTGTGTATGTAGTGTGTGTGGTGTGTTGTGTGTGTGTGTGTGTGTGTGGTGGATGTGTGTGGTGTGTGAGTGTGTGTGTGGCTTGTGTGCTGTGTGTGTGTGTGTGTGATTGTGTGTGCTGTGGTGTGTGGTGTGTGTGTATGTGTGTTGTGTGTTGTGTGTGTGTGTGTGTGTGGTGTGGGTGTATGGTGTGTGAGTGTATTTGTGTGTGTGAGGTGTTGTGCGTGTGCGTGTGTGTCTTGTGTGTGTGTTGGGTGTGGTTTGTGTGTACGTGCTGTTTAGACGTGGAACTTGAATGACGCATCTGTACTTATGCATGTGTGTAATAAAATGATTTGCGCTGGTGTTCGGCGTTTATTAATGCTTCTGTGCATGTTGCGTACATGTAACGTGTGCGTGTGTGCTTTTACAAGGCTTGGCGCATTCCTGCCGCGCACACGTGACTGCAGGCGAGCACATCGCTCTTAACTCACAGAATTTTTCGAATCCCAGGGCTGATTTAACTTCATTCTTACGCCATTAAGCACTGAGGGAAAAAAATAAATAATAATTCGTGAAATGAAAATAAAAAGAAAAAACAACAACAGCTCCAGAACAAGAAATGACTAGCGCAAGATAAAATTTTTGCATCAACCTTGGCTTCGTGTTGGCGAGCACGATTCCCTGCGTATTCCCCCCCCCTTCTCTCCCCTCCCCCCTACCCCCTCTCCTCCCCTCCCCACACCCCTTCCTCTCCTCCCTTCCCCCCCAATACCCTGTTCTCTCTCCTCTCCATACCACCTCTCCCCTTCCCCTACCCCTTCTCCTTCCTTACCCCGCACCCTCTCTCTTCCCTCCTCCTTCCCCGCTACCCCTTCTCCTCCACCCCTACCCCCTCTCCTCCCCTTCCCCCCGCACCCCCTCCTCCCCTCCCCCCACCCCCTCTTCTCCTCCCACCCTCCTCCCCCTTTCCCCCCCCCCCCAACCCCTCTCCTCTCCTTCCCCCCATACCCCTCTCCTCCCCTTCCCCCCCACCTCTCTCCCCTTTCCCCCCCACCCCCTCTCCTCCCCTTCCTCACCCCCTCTCCTCTCCTCCTCTTCCCCCCCTACCCCTCTCCTCCCCTTCCCACCACCCCCTCTCCTCCCCTCCACCCCCTCTCCTCTCCCCCCTTCCCCACCCCTATCCTCCCTCCCCTTCCCCCCCCATTACCCCATCCTCCCCTCCCTCCCCACCCCATCTCCTCTCCTCCCCTTCCCACCCCCTCCCCCCACCCTCGCTCCTCCCCATCCCCACCTTTCTGACCTTTCACCCCGCCCACACTGACCCCCTCGCCCCCCGCCACCGCCCATCACCATAGGGTCCGCCTCGCCCAGGATCTTTCCAAAGGGGAGGAGCCACGCGAGGAAACTATGCCACAGTAGTTTATAACTGTGTGTGTGCGTTTGGTTCGTGGTGTGTTATGTGCGTTGTTTGTGTTGAATGTGGTTTGTGTGTGAATGTGTGGAATGAGTGAGCGTGTGTGTGTGATTGAGTGAGTGTGTGTGTGTGCGAATGAGTGAGTGTAATGTTGTGTGTGATGTGAGTGAGTGTGTGTGTGTGATGTGTGTGTGTGTGTGTGAATGAGTGAATGTATGTGCGTGTGTAGGGGGGGGGGGTGCGTGTACTTGCGCGTGCATGCGTAGAGAAGAGAGAGAGAGAGAAGAGAGAGAGAGAGAAGAGAGGAGAGAGGAGAGAGAGAGAGAGAGAGAGAGAGAGAGAGAGAGAGAGAGAGAGAGAGAGAGAGAGAGAGAGAGAGAGAGAGAGAGCGAGCGAGCGAGAGAGAGAGCGAGGAAGAGAGAGAAGAAGAAAGAAAGAGAGAGAGAGTGAAAGAGATGCAAATACGGAGATAACTACGATAAACCAACATAAGTACTGCACATCCGTCCCTAGAGGCGATCAAACCCAACATGGAGCCGATGGTGGAATTTCAATTAAGTCAATTTGATTCAAGCAGATGATTTACTTATAGCGGAGAGATACTGAGAAACTTGATATCTAGAAATATTTGTCTCGATAACTGTTATTGAATACGTAAAAATTGCTTTCAAATTTGGCATTAAAATCTTATGCATACTTACATATGCACATGCATACAACAACACACATATGATATATAATATGTATACATTTGTATATATAAATAATAATATATAATATATAATATATATATCTATATTATATATTATATATTATATATATGTGGTGTGTGTGTGTGTGTGTGTGTGTGTGTGTGTGTGTGTGTTGTGTGTGTGTATGTTATATATATATATATATATAAAATATATATATGTATATATGTATATATGTATATGTATATGTATATATATATATGTACTATATATATATATATATAATAATATATATATATATATGTGTGTGTGTGTGTGTGTGTGTGTGTGTGTGTGTGTGTGTGTGTGTGTTTGTGCGTGTGTGTGTGTTGTGTAATATATATATATATATATATATATATATAATATATATATATGTAATACATATATGTATAATGTAAATGTGTACACATGCAGACACACACCCAAAGGCACAAACACACACACGTATACACACACACAGACACAGAGTCACACATACATACATACATATGTATATGATAATATATATATTATATTATATATATATATAATATATAATATATGTATGTATAGATATGTACTATGTATGTATGTAATTGTGTACACGCACAAATACACAGGCACCATACATACACTACACACACACACACAGACACACGCACACGCAACCACACACAATATCACACACACCACGCACACACACACACACATACACATATTTGCGAGTGTGTGTATATGCAACATACACACACACTCACATATTTGCACACAACACACACACTCACACATATTTGTACACACACACACACTCACACATATTGCACACACACACACACACACACACTTGCACACACACACACACTCACACATATTGCACACACACACACACACCACACACACCACACACACACCACACACACACACACAACACAATATATA